CACCCCCGGTACACCCTCACCCCGGTGCACCCACACCCGGGGGCACCCCACCCCAGGGCACAGCCGCCCGGCTTTGGAGGCGCCACGCCCAGGCCCTGCCGCGGAGTTGCGCGACTTCTTGGGCTGTTCCTGTTGGCCTTTCTGCGCGGGCCGGCGCGTTCGGAGCCCCACCCGGCCGAGCATTTTAGGGGGGCCTCCCAGGTGCACCGCCAGAGCCCACTGCCTTGCTCCTCCCCAGCCTGCGCGGATTCGGCGGCGCCCAGGCTCGAGGCTCCCGCACCACGTTCCTGTGCAGCAGCTAATTCCAGGCCCGCGCGGAAGCGAAGAGTGGTGCCCGCGCGCGGCTTTTGCCCCGTCTGGCCGAGAGGATGAAAGTCATCACGTGCGAGATCGCCTGGCACAACAAGGAGCCGGTGTACAGCCTGGACTTCCAGCCGGGCCCGGCCGGGAGGACCCATCGGCTGGCGTCCGCCGGCGTGGACACTGCAGTCAGGGTAAGGCCGAGGCGGGCGTGCGGGCGCCCTTGGCTGCAGGCCCCAGGTCAGCAAGCTCAAGCTGCTGAATTCCCTGGCCTGGAGGGACCATGAAGGCCCGAGCTGCTTCTCGCCAGGGGCCGATGCCCCCTAGGCCCTTGCCGCGGGGGCGTTATTTTAGAATGCCAGCCTCTCCTGGGGAAGAGTTTGCCCTGGAAAGAGGTAGGGAAGATGGGATGGTGGGATTTTATTGGATTCTGTTTCAGACAGAAGCGCCTTCATTTCGCTGTTCCCAGAATAATAGGTTTTTCTGAAGAGAAACGCGGCCTTGTTTCAGGTAGGGCTCCCTGTGTTAGGAGTTTCTCTGAATGTTTGGTATCCGCAGATCTGGAAGGTGGAAAAAGGACCTGATGGAAAAGCCATTGTAGAATTTTTGTCCAACCTCGCTCGCCATACTAAAGCTGTCAATGTCGTGCGTTTTTCTCCAAATGGGGAAATTTTAGCATCAGGGGGAGATGGTGAGTATTGTTTTAGTTCTTCAGAAACCAGATATCTCTGTGTGTCGCGTTCAGTAGAGATTTCTGTTGGGGATGGCTTTTTATCCTAGGAGTCCCTCGCCTCTCTCAGTCCCACACTTAGTTTCTCCCCGAGGTTCTGGGCGGCGGAGGGGTTGCTGGACAGCAAGGATCCGCTGAGAAAACCAGCTAGAAAACGGCCCCTTTCTCACTGGCCCCACCTGCTGGCTGGGAGACGGGTGGGAAGGTGCTGGCCCCCCTGGCCAGGGGTCTGTGTGGGCCTTGTTTGTGTATCGGGAGAGGGCGCTCCGTTCCCTGCTCTGTGGGATGAATTAACGGCTTAGAAAAGAGGGGACCCTCCATGCAGAAAGTCAGGAGACCGGGACAGGGGAGGAGATGTACCCCCAGAGACTTTTATGAGACGTGAGAAGCTTTGTCAAAGTGGTCACAGGATTGTTGCACAGGACAAAGATCAATGTCATCCTTGTTTGCTGCTATAAAGCAAAGCCGCATGTGAAACCTTGAGTTTCGGGGCCAGGAGAGGGCCGGGGAGCGTGTGCCTGCCTGTTCTCTCTCTGCTCTCGCCGCCTCTCTCCTGAGGCTCAGCCCCCTTGGGCCTCGGGACCCCTCGCTGGGCAGTGCTAAGGTGATGGTTGACTCTGCCTTGCTGGACACCGCCTTTCCCGTTTGCTGGCATTTGCCACACACAAGCTGGCCCCCTTGCCGTCCTTCTCCCCTTGTCTGGGCAGTACAGTGCCTAAAGACCCAGGACTGGAAGGAAGAAAAGCTGAACTAGCTTAGGGAGTATTTCCCAAAGCTCCTGCAAACTGTGCTTATTAGAGTAGATTGATTTATATTTTGTGCTTAAATGCCAGAAAAGTAGATGTTTTCATCTGCTTTCATATTAGAATCGTCTAGAAGGCAGTACAAAATAGAACAGAATTCTCAGATTTTGTTTGTAAAAGGAGGACAAGGACCTGTTTGAGTTGAGGGGCATAATGTCCAGACGGTCTGTGTGTGAGTGTGTGTGTCGGGAAGCTCCGGGGCGCCGGGCAGGCTGCCTCCCGGAGGCCGCACAAGAGCACTGGTTTGTGAACACCCTTGGCTTTGGAGGCCCGGAGCGGAGCCCGCCGTGAGGCAGTGTGTGGAGAGAGCATGCCGGCCGCTCACCTCTGCCGACTTGCAGGCAGGTCTGGGCCACTTAGCAGCTCACTTAGCTGGGAGCACGTGTGTCCAGACCCGTGGCTCGTCCCCCTCCTGTGGGCCTTCCTCAAAGGGGAGGCGGCCAGGGTCTGCAGAGGTGTGGGGAGCATGCCGTCTGCAGTGTCAAAGGACTCGCGCAGGTGATGGCATCAGGCTGAGGTGTCTGCTGTGTCTGTGACATTAACAGCACGTGCTCTCAGGTGCCCGGCCTTGTGCGTTCAGTGCCGAGACAGATGACCCCGCAGTGCTCACAGGGGCCCCGTGATGTGGGGTGCTGTATCCTCGTGTGTCAGCGGCAGAGACCCAGCACTGAGTGAGTGGCTCGCTGCGTGCTACACAGCGAGGGGCCATTGCCGACCCTGGCACTGTAACTCTGCGGTTTTTCCCGCCCAGGCCTCATCTTTAATTTGTCAGTTGCTTTGTGTGAAAGCGGCTGTGTAGCTGTCATCTGGAGAATTGCTGTATGTTGTGGTGCACTTTCCCCAGAGTCCTGCAGGAGAGCCAGGTGACCCCGTGTCTGTGCTGTGTCAGCACTGTTTACCTCCGTGGAGTCAGGGTGCAGGGTCTGCAGGATGCCTGCTTATCTATAGCCTCCTCGCCCCCCAGACGCTGTCATTCTGCTGTGGAAGGTGAACGACAACAAGGAGCCCGAACAGATTGCTTTTCAGGACGAGGATGAGGCCCAGCTGAACAAGGAGAACTGGACAGTGGTGAAAACTCTGAGGTAACTGGGGGGGCCGTGGCAGTGACCGCCTGGCCCTCCGAGCGCAGCAGGCCCAAAGCTGTCTGACTTTGACATCTAACGTGCAGGATGGAAGCAAGTGCAGCTTCAAACCATAAAAGCAAGATGACCACAGGGCGCGAGGCTTCTGGTGTACACCACCCCTGTACACCAGATGGCCGGGCTGTCAAGGCCAGCGCCCTGGAGGGGCAGATGTTGGCTGCAGTCACCAGGCCTGGTGCGCTCCTGAGCTCCCCTATGTGAGTCCCTCCTGTGTGCCTTTCCATTGTCCCCCTTGAAACAAGGGTTGCTTTTTTTTCTCTTTATCTTTCGGTCTCTAGGGGTCACTTGGAAGATGTCTATGACATCTGCTGGGCCACGGATGGCAACGTAATGGCCTCTGCCTCAGTGGACAACACGGCCATCATCTGGGACGTCAGCAAAGGTAGCGTGTGGATTTCTGGAATCACGGGAGGCGGGGGAGGAGGAAGGAGAATGTTTTAGACATGTACAGAGTCTGACGTGCTTTGCCATCAGAAGCAGCAAGAAGAGTGTGAGTGCCCCAGGAGCAGGCTGTGTGCCCTCCCCACTGCCCAGGCCCGACACAGGGCCCCTGCTGGCTGACGGGTGGGGAAGCGGAGCAGTGCTGGATTCAGGTCCACGCCGAGCGGTTCCCTCATGCCCTGTGCGTTGTTTCGGCAGGACAAAAGATCTCCATTTTTAACGAGCACAAAAGTTACGTACAAGGAGTGACCTGGGACCCCCTGGGTCAGTATGTTGCTACCCTGAGCTGCGACAGGTACGTGGTCTTCATCTCTGTTTGCTCGAAATTTTCCGCAGATGTCTTTCTATCCCATCAAGCAATGTAAACCATAGTCTAACTTTGATTTTTGTTATCCTTTTTTCCATCTAGAGCTTTCTGTTTCCCTGTTGTTCATTAGGACAGAAAGGGGCAGAATTCACAGGAAGTTTGCACTTAGTACATCTTTATGAAGGGTGGGTTCGTGCAACACAAGTTTTGAATTACATTTGGCTCATGAAGATTTTTGAAAAAAAATCTTTTACAGATGTACCTTAAAGGTACTTTGTGGTAAGATTGACTACCTCATTTTTTTGATCACAGTTTTATTATCCAGTGATATTAATGGCTTCCTTTAAGTGAATATAAACATGAAATATTTTGTCCTTGAAAGGGGGTCTTACTGTGTATGTTTGGAAAGGACGGCACTTTGTGTGCTTGAAACGAGGAATTTTAAAAATCAGAGCTGTGTGGCAGTACACTCCTTAGAATAGGCCTTACGAATGTTCAACTACCTGTAATTAAGCAAATCTAATTCCAGATGGCACTGGAATGAAAGCAAAATGGAAGTTCATGTTTGTTTTTCATAGCGCCTCGTGTTATATTCCAAAAGTCACTTTTTTCTGATACATGTATTTTAGCCAGGTAATCAGGAGCAAAAGACTCGGATTAGCTAGTGGGAATCGTGTGGCTTACTAATAACCAAATTTTCCTTAGTCACACAAGCCCCGTGCCGAGGCCGTCCAGCCCAGCCTGCCTGGCATGTCCCCGCTTCTTCAGCCACACGGCCAAGGTCACTCTTGGTTCTGCTACAACTAGTCAGTTGAGCGTGAAGTCACTGGTAAATGGGACGGCGGACGAGCGAGTCTTCGGTTTGGAAATAGGTTGATTGCTTCCACGTGGAACGTAATTCACTTGCCAGAAGCGACAAATGAGACGTTTCTTCTTTGTTTAGGATCCTGAGGGTGTACAGCACACAGAAGAAACGCGTGGCTTTTAATGTTTCAAAGATGCTGTCTGGAATAGGGGCGGAAGGAGAGGTATGTCGCTCCCCTTACTGGCACTGGGGGTGGGTCGGGGAGGCCACACGCCTCACCACCCACGCTGATGGCCTCTGCTGGCCTCTGCTGGCCTCTCCCGGCACCTGCTGGCACCTGCACTGTGGCTGGGCTTCCTCTTGGACAGTGAGGCTCAGAGTGCTGGGCGGTCTGTGTGCAGTGGGCACATGGGGCCCGGGAAAGCGATGGTGGGGAGTAGCGGCTTCCCACCCTGGTGGCTCTTCTGAGTCACCGTCAGGGCCCCACCCCCAGAGATGTGAGTCACTTGGCTTGAGGTGGACAGGGCCTCCTGGGATTCAGAGCACAGTGACAAGGAGGGTCAAGAGCTGCTGACCTTGAAGGTCCCAGGGCCAGCGGGCCCCGGGAGGCAGTGTGAGCAGCGGATGTCCCTGTGGCGGGAGGGCTCTGGTGCCGGAGGCTCGGGAATGGGAGTGGAGCAGGAATGCCGGCCCGGGGTGAGCTGGCAGCCGGAAACAGGTCCGTCCCGGAGGCCGCGCTCTCGAGGCAGGCGCTGGGGTGAGGGAGAACGTCGGTCACTGGACAGAGAGGATGTGCAGCCCCATGCTCAAGGCCCTGAGCTGGGCGTGTGGAATTAGGGGAGCAGGGCCAGGTTCCCCAGAGTAAACGCTTAGTGTCCGAAAGTGTCGGTGCGTGGTGGCAGAAACTGCCCATCTGGGTGTTCAAGAAATGTTTGGCGAGTGGGTGCGTTTGCCAGTTTGACGGCTCCTTGGTGTCCGTTCAGCCAGAGGCACTGAACGCCTGGGCACATCACAGGTCACTTTTTCGCCACCACTGCCCGGCAGCCGCCACCCACGCTGGTATGTGCGGCCAAGGAACCGCTTTTGCACGTAGTGGAGGAGCCGAACCGCGCATGCGCACACGCACGGACACACCCCTTTTCCTTTTCTTGTTTAAAGATTTATTTATGTATGCACACAAGAACTGGGCTACAGGCCAGGGGTGCGGGGGTGAGGGGCTTCACCAGAGACAGTGGGGAGCAGAACAGGCAGACCGACGAAATCCACTGCTGAGGGGAGCAGCGGGCGGGTCAGCCGGGTCTCAAACTCCCGAGCAGTGGCTGTGGCAGCTTCACACTGCTGACTTTAACCCGTTGCACCCGGGGAGGCCACACTGCTTTTGCTTTAACATAAAGCGGCTGATGCGGTCACGAGCCGTGACACCTGCAGATCTCATGGTTTGATTTGAAATGCGTTGGAGTTTCACGAATCCCACGTGGGAATGCGGGCGATGAAGGAGAAAGCCCCAGGATGGGGCTTGCCGGAGGGGACAGTCTTGGGACAGGGTCTGCACTTCGTGTGCCACAGGCAAGAAGCTACCGGATGTTCCACGACGACAGCATGAAGTCCTTCTTCCGCAGACTGAGCTTCACTCCTGACGGGTCCTTGCTCCTCACCCCAGGTGCGTTTCGCCTGCGGCCCCGCCAGCGGCAGTGGTGGCATCTGTCCCTGACTTCGTGATGCTTTCAGATCAGTACGTCCCAGTCAGGCTGTGGTCCCCAGCACAGGGTACCCCCGGGGGGTTCGAGGCAGTGCTGACCCTGTGTCCGTCCCCCTCACTCCATGTGATTCAACTAGGTTGGGGCGTGCCGCTGGTTTCAGAACTTAATATTACCACGTGTTTCAAATATGCAGACAAGCTCAGAGTGGTTAGGCTCCCGTGGTAGACATGTCCCCGAGAGATTTTACTGCAAAAACTTGAATGAATGCCGTTCACAAATTACGGGGCTTAAGCGGACGACAGGTGCCTTTACCCTCCGCAGTCAGACAGCAGCCAGGCAGGCAGGATCTAGATGCAGGAACAGGCGGTGGGCACAGTGCGGGAGGGCCGTGTACCATCTGCAGGGCCAGCAGAATCAGCAAAGACAAGCGTCGCCTGCAGGAGGGACCCCTTGGCGTGGCCTCCGCCGGGGCGGCCGAGGACGGGGTGTTCTCAGAGAAGACTGCTGCTCTCCCTTGGGTGCGCTCCGCAGCAGGGCCACGGCCAGGTGCGCGCAGGTCCGGTTTGCCCCAGTATCTGCCGGGCTGGGCAGGGGAGGCCTGCGGTGTGAGCCAGGCCTACCTGTATGTGCGTGGGTTCAGCCTTATAGGAGCTACCTGGGGAACCGATGTGTGGGAAGTGAGCAGGAGAAAGTTACAAACATATTACAATTTACTAAATTCCAACAAATTCTTTACTGTGTGGCACTTCTAAATATATATCAGGTAAAACCGCAAGTGGGTGTCTGCCATCACCATTATTCTTTGTGGTGTTTATAGATGTAGGAAAACGAGAAAAAATTACAGAGGCTGAAAAAGAAGCAAAACCTTGCAACCGGGTTGAATTTCTAGGAAATCCAAGAGATGTAAAAAATGCACTTAGAATTAAAAAACTGCTAGGTGACTGGATATTGTGAAATACATAAACGTCTAGTGTGGTTTTTTTTTTTTGTAAAGACTTATTTATTTATACATACAGAGCTGGGGTACAGGCCAGAGGTGTTGGGGTGAGAGAATTCACCAGAGACAGAGACAGAAGCAGAACAGGCAGATTGAAATACACTGCTGAGGAGAGTAGCGGGGAGACAGGCGAGGTCTGCTGCACCCTGTGGGTCACCCCCCGGCTGGGGATCAAGCTCATGCTACAGTGGCAGTGATAGCTTCATAGTGCTGTGCTTTAACCTGTTGTGCCACCAGAGAGGGCCCCTAGTGTGTTTTTTATACCAGAGTAAGTAAATAGGAATATTCCATTCATAGTAGTATAAAATCATAAGATAACAAGGGGAAATTTAGTCCAGAATGAAGGCTTTATGAAGAAGACCCAGGGTCTTACTGAAGGGTATAAAACAAGTTTGGAACAAATGGAAAGATGTTTCATGAACTAAAAATTGAGCTGCCACAGGATTTTCATGGATCCTGGCAACCTGCTGGCTCCCTCAGCAGAGAGGAAAAGGCCAAGTCCAGGCTCTGGAGGGCCGAAGAGATCGGGGTCTGGGAACGGAGAGCCAGGGCATTCGGTGAGCTCACCAGCAGGCGTTGGTGGGTTGCCCAGCCAAGGGGCCTCACAGTGAGGCCCCCTCCTGTGTTCTTCCTTATTTGGTGGAGAATGAGTGTTGCAGGCATGGGAGGGCTCAGTCCAGATGGGGACACTCGTGTGGTTATTCTCAAAACACTGTCCGGGGATATACTAGTAGGGGAAATAGTTTACAACACAGAATCAGATGCTCTTGAGCGTTTACTGGCGAACTCTTGATGAAACACTGCCTCTCCTTCCTCTCCTCGCTCTCCCTGCTTCTCCAGCGGGATGTGTGGAATCTGGTGAAAATGTCACGAATACAACTTACGTTTTCTCCAGGAAGAATCTGAAAAGGTATGCAGTTGAGGAAATACTTGAAATCGTTACCTTTTCCCCTTTGTTGAGAAACATTACCTTTTCCTAAGACTGCTTCATCTTTCAGGCCGATCGCTCATCTCCCATGTCCTGGGAAGGCCACGCTGGCTGTCCGCTGCTGTCCTGTCTACTTTGAGTTGAGGCCAGTGGTGGAATCAGGTGACTGGTATTCTGGGAATAGGTGTCAGCTTTATGCGTTGTCTGGGACAGGCGCTCTGTGATACGCGGGCTGCTTTTGTTTTCCTACTGAAGCAGGTTGGGTATCATTCATAACCCATTTTCTTTGCTGTAAAATTAAGTCTGAGTGGGACTTTTCTAAAATATTTCTTATTGAAGAAGCATTGCATCATAACATTTAAGTTTCAGGTGTGTGTCATTATAAATCAGTGTGTGTTTATAATAGTTTTAGAACTTTCCTTTTAATCTCTGCCCCCACACATGGCTGGCTTTTTATGTATATATTTTCACAACTTTTTCTTTCACTTTTGACCACCTTTTCCCATTTTCCTGCCCGCCTCCACCCCTGCCTCCAGCAGCCCCAGTCTGTTCTGTTTCCATGTACTTGGTTTTTCAGATTTCATGTGTAAGATTATACAGTATTTGTCTTCCCCTGTCTGACCTACTTCGTTCCACATCATGCCCTCTGTTCTTTTCTCTGGCTCCTTTTTGGTAAGTTAATTGACCATATATGTGTGTATTTACTTCTGGGGTCTTTATTCTCTTCTATTGATTGATCTTTGTATCTGTTTCTATGTCAACGCCATACTGTTTTAATTACTGTTGCTTTGTAGTATTGTTTGAAACCAGGGTACCTGATTCCTCCTCCACTCTCTAATCAATGCCCAGTGAAATCAGTGCCTTGTCTGAGCTTCAAGCATAGCTCTTTCTGCCCATACTTCTACCCAGTGTCACATGCATGCGCTCCAGTGCTCAGAGGAGACCTCACAGACCTAGCTCGGCAGCACCTGCCTCTGGCCATCCCCCTGCAGCTGCCTTGCCCTTCTGAACATGCAGCTTCATCATCCTCTCCTCTCAGGGTGTCTGCTTGGCTCTGCCTGTATCTCTCTGCTTTTGCTTGGTTTGGAAATTCCAGGCAGCCGCTGAGGCAGTTGTAGGACTCCTGCATTTTGCTTCCATTTCTCAGAGACCACTGTCCTTCCCTGCCTGCCTGTCACTATTTAAAAAAAAACATTCGCTATCACTTGCCTGATGTTTTAGTTATTTCAGGTGGGGAGGGTATATCTGGTTGCTGCTATTTTGTGGCTGGAAGTGGAAATTGTTTTTAACTTTCGAAATCCTCTATGTGAACGAATATAATTAACTCAAAAGAATAGGAAAACTTCAGCTGATAACATGTTTCTTAGTGACCCTTAGTTTTCCTCCTGAGAAAACCACCTCCCAGGTTGGCTTGCCTCACTCACACAGCTTCTCTTGCATCATGGTCCACGCCGGTGCCTTTTAATCACATACATAAAAAACATGAAAAGCGGAATTACGTGTGAAGCACTTAACCAGTTGTCTTTAGTAGGAGCCAGTGTCCCCTAGGCGAGGACTCTTGGGGGTGTTTGTTGCTTGTTTCTGCTGACTGCCTCCTGGTCCACTGCCCCTGCAGACAGGCCTCAGGAGCTGGTGGACCTGCCCTACCGCCTGGTGTTCGCCGTGGCGTCGGAGGACTCAGTGCTCCTGTATGACACGCAGCAGCCCTTCCCCTTCGGCTACGTGTCCAACATCCACTACCACACCCTGAGCGACCTTTCCTGGTGAGCAGCGTGGGGGTGTGCGGCTGAGAGGAGCCTCGCCTCAGGGCTTGTCTGACGTGGTCACTCACGTGCTAATTTGGCTTCAACTCGCCATGTTTTTTAAGGAGGCAGCATTAAAGGAAACGCCGCTTCTGACCTGCCTTGAGTGCTTCAGGGTGGCAGCAGGGCGCCAGCGCCTCTCTGCCTGCCTAGTGGGGTTCGCCTCACTCCCAGACACTGAAGAGAGCCCTGCGGGACTCACCCAGCCCATGGGGAGAGGCCTGCCCGCGAGCCCTGCTGCCCGGCTGGGAGTGGGCCGGGGCAGGCATCCTGGCTGTGCGGCCTGTGGGCCAGTGCTCAGCGCCTCGGTCCCTGGCCCTGCCTCGGCCGCGGTGCAGGCTCAGCCCCGGCCTGGCCATCTGTCCCATGATCCTTGTGACTTTTTCCCTCGTCATTTCATTTTGAACGGGAAGGTCACCCCACCTTCATTTAAGTGGGATTTGATGACAGTGCAGCGATGTCACGGAGACTTGAGGCTGGGCAGGGAACGGGAGGGTGAAGCGCACACACCAGCACGTTTTAAATGGTTCCCTGCAACTTACACCTTCAAGTAAAGCTGCTTTGGCTTGATCGCCCTCCTCGCGCTGGTGACGGAAGCACAGGGTGCTAACGTTTCCGACTTGCCCGTTTTGGGAACCAGGTCCAGCGACGGGGCCTTCCTGGCCATCTCTTCCACGGACGGCTATTGTTCCTTTGTGACCTTTGGAAAGGATGAACTTGGAATACCTTTGAAAGAAAAGCCAGCCTTGAGCTTGGGCACTCCTGACGTCGCCAAGAAAGCCAAGAGTCAGACGCTCCCAGGGTCCTCGCCGGGACCCAGACTGGTAGAGGGGACCCCGGCCAGCAAAGCGCCAGACCCCAGCAGTCCCAGTACCACCCCGCCTCAGGCCAGACAGTCTCCGGTTCCCCCAGTGGCCAAGGACACCCCTGCAGCCACCCCTGCTGCCAGGAGCTCCTTGCCGGGGCCTTTGGAGGAGAAGAAGACCCTGCAGCCCAGCAGCCAGAACGCGAAGGCCCACCCGGCCCGCAGGGTCACGCTGAACACGCTGCAGGCGTGGAGCAAGACTACTCCCCGGTAAGGGCTTGTGACCGCCAAGGAAATGGTCGCGGAATGGAGAAACAGTACGCGGTGGGTCCCAGCCCCAGCGCGGAGCGGGCCTGCTCTGGGCCCGCCCTCAGCTGTGGCTTCTGTGCACCCCGCCTGTCGCCCCGCCCCCTGGGCCTGCCTCCTGGCGCCCCAAGCCTGCTGCCCACCCTTGAAGGCTGAGCTTTAAGGAAGGTGGACTGGAGAGGAGCCCCGCGGCGCAGGCTTTCCCCGCAGCATCCAGCAGGGCTTCTTCTGCCCTGGTGGTTGACGCAAAGCCGGGCAGCGTCTCCCTGACGGTTCAGACCGACCTCTGTCAGGGTGTGGGTCACTGTGTGCACGGTGCCACCCCGCGTTACCTGTTAAGTGGTCACGTGACGC